TTTCTCGTCAAAAGCACATCAGTGAAAGTTTTTGAAAGAAAGAACGTAGGAGAATACACGTGTACTTATATTTCCTATTGTATTATACGCTGTAACGGATGGCCCATAATAACTTGTGCGAAATGTTTATTTCGGTGCGTTTGGTAAAGAATAAAATTACATGTTTTACATATTTCTTTTGCTTGCAATGACCAGGCTAGAAATTTCGTTAGATGTTTATGATTGTGAACAAATTTTAAAGTAGAAGCACCATGAAATACCTTAGGCAGTATTTTTCTTTCCAAAACAACATAGCAACACATTTTTTTGGATTTCATGATAATTGTTAGAAATTGGACAATGTATGAATTCTGTGCAAGTCAGCATTAAGAGCAGTTGTTGTTAAAGCGATGTTGTTCCTGCTATGATACAATGATGTGTCGGCAGCAACAGTCCCTAGTCTCGATTGTGCATTCAATCAAATATCAGTTGTAAATAGAAGGAATAGCAAAGGTCCGAGAATGGATCCCTGTGGAACCTGTCTATAATCGAAATTGGTGTAGATCTTTGTCCATTAACAACCGTATCACATATCTATGAGTTGAGTAGCTCGTAGACCACTTTAATTAGTCATTCGACTCTCCTTTTATCTTCAGTTTATACAGAAGCCCAGAATGCCACACTTTGTCAAATACCTTCGAGAACTCAAGAAACACTGCAAGAATAAAATCATTATTATTTCTTTTTCACGACCTCTATCTTGCGAACGACGCAATAGATTACCCTGACAATTTCTTTCAAGCATAAGTCTACTAGTTCTCTCGGCTCTGAAAGTTTCAATTTTATTGGTTACGTTCTTCCAAAGTTATAGTCAAAACCGAAGTCGTGGCGAAATAACAAAAAATAGAAATCTGTTTCAGATATTCTCATACTTGGAAAATTGCTTCGAACTGACGCATTTTTCAGAACAATTCTTGAATAGAAAGTTGTGGAAAATTCTGTAGACTACCGGAATCTCAATTTGTTTACTTTTTTGAGCTTCAGAATGGCAGAAAAAGTGAAAATACATGCCGTGACGGAATGTCATCATTTTTTGTGCTTCCAGTACAGATAGGTTTCATCATCTTTTTCTCCTTCTTTAAGAGGAGGATATATGACTCCTACATTCCACCTCTAAGAAAAAACACCAGCAGACAAAGAAAAAGTGCAAATATGAGCAAAATGTTTAACGATAATTGACCCAGCTTCACGCAAAAGTTTAGATCTTATTCCCTCACTGATCGCCTTATTTACATTTATTCTACTTGCGCATTGTTCAACTTCATGCAAAGGCACTATCAATAAATGAGGTATGGGAGTGTTTGAAGGTTCAGTCTTAGGAGGAACAGATCTGTAATAGTCAACATCAGTCATACTAGAAACATTACCAAAATGTTCATTCAATATATTAGCGTTTTCATTATTATCATAACAGTCAACTCCTACAGAATCTCTCGAAACTGTTATATTTGTTGTGCGAGAGCGTTTAAAGAGCGATCGAACGTGTTTCCACCACGATTTACTTGATCCATTTATTTATACAAATACAGAAGTTTTATATCTTTACTACAGATTTCGCAGCGCTACTAATATTCATACCAATCCAGTGATGATAGTGATGCATACTTTACAAGTCGATATTTGTATTTTGAACTTTTACCGACTGCGATCGAATAACTTGTACTGATTGAAGCCAGAGAGGCGCTTGTAATATAATCAATAATACGTGAAGTATTACTATATTCACATCCAGCGTACATTCTTCCCGCAGCATCCATGTCCAATGGGCCCTGAATACGGCATGGATCATTCACAAACACCACTGTGGATGAATCGTTTACTTTAAGAATACCTGCATCTGCTGCTAGATACAATTGATCACTAAGGATAATACATGCTAAAGGGTTTATTGCAGATGAAACGTTGTACAGAAACTGGAACGTTGTTTTGTTAAACACATTAGCGATTATCGGTAAACTAATGAAACGAAGACCAACGATGTACTGATTAGACATGCATACATGAAAAGTTGCATAATTAGCATCCCCAACTGCTATTACTGTCGAATTCGTATAGTAGTATAAGTTATGACTGATGGCATCGTTGAACAAATAATTTTTTCTCAAATCCAAATCAAATCCTTGTATATAAACGCCAGGTTTCAACTGTACTTTATCAGCTAAGGAATACGACGCTAGATCATAAATCAACAAAGTATCATTATTAACTAACGGTATATATAAAGATGTTGTCGTCATGGCTGGTCTAAACGATAATGTGTTTGATAGCGTTTTTACGAGTGTTAATGATAGCAGCATATCGGCGAAAGGAACAGGTTGACGTTCATCTCCGAAACACAAGTATTCTGGTTCAGAATAGCCGTTTGGACACAATGTGAAACTAATTATCGTTGCTATCCCAATCGCTTCGATTTTAATGCCAACATACGAATATTCTTCGGATAACGAGCAGATCTTATCAACAGAATAATAGGTGGCTGTGCGACAATAATCATTGTTATGACACTGATATGCGCATTGCTCTAGTGATTGCACTCCGGTTATATTCAAGATAAAATGACGATCGTACGCTTCGCGATACACATAATCGTTCGCAAACGTACTGTGACTTGAGCGAATCATCGACTGAGCATATGCGGCATGAATACATATAGTGATAACGACCAGTACATGCATTGGGAATATGATAAGTGTGGTACTTATCGTATTTTTTCTCTCGATGCTAGAATCGTCTGTACGTTGAAGAAACAGTCTTTTGTTTCTATAATATAATCTAAAATTGAACATGTAATAGTAGTCATTAATATCAAGTGTCAGTTTGGGGAACTAAGGGAAAAGGTGATTTGCTAAATTTATGTTTGATGTTGCGTTGACAAGAAGTAATATTAGTATCGGATCACTTCTGCTCCCAAAAGTCTAGTATAAAAGGTAAAGACACGGCAGACAAAACATGAAAATGTCAGGTTTGCGAAAGATATGAAAACATTATGCTTTTTGTAGAGAAAAGCAAATAAAGTTAGAGAATTTCGTATAAAATTTTGCGCGATTAGAAATATGAACTTTCCGCAGATTACGATAAGACAGAACGAAGTAGATGTAATAATCTATGTTAACGACGGACATTGTGTTTAACTCGTTTTAAAGAAAATGATCGAACGACGTTTCATACTACTTTATTCGAATTAATAGGTGCCCCAGAATAAATGTCCGCAAACCTATTTTCGTAGGTTATGCGTAATGTAAGAATTTCGTTTTGTGTTGTCCTGTCGAGCAAATTTTGTCGAAGATAAAAATTATTCCTAGTTCAATAAAGTGGTGCGCAGTTGAGATTTTCGAGGCTTTCGGTATTGTTACTATTGTAAACGAACGGTGAATGCTTAGTTTTAAAAGAACACACGAATCAAACTTAAATAAAATTCTTTACCTTTTCATGCCATAATGGAATTCTTACATTAAGCTTAACTTACGAAAACAGGTTTATTAAATACAATTGAAAATGCGTTAAGTAAAGGCATTTACAAACTTTTGCGAGGTTTCGATACTAATCGTATATCATCATCAGGCAATATAACTGGAAGTGGAATGAGAAGAGAAAGACGTAAGTAATATCAAAAACATGACTAAGCAACTATAACTAATCAATTTTTTCCTTTGTCCTGCATTGAGTAAAATACCCTAGTCTTTAAAGAGATGGCATTGAAGGCCAGTTCTCTGTGTATATTTGTTAAAAGTGTTTCTTTTAACTGCCGTTTTATTTCATGTCTTTCATAAGCCATAACTGTGGGTTCTTTCAATTTCAGTTTATGATTATTTTGTGTGGCGTGAACCGCTGGTTTTGCATCCACATCTTGTAGTGCAATTTTCTTCTCATGTTGTTCCATTCTTAGCGTTACTTCATTGCCGGTTTGTCCTATATAAACTTTCTCACAGTCATTACACCTAATACTATACATTACTCCAACCTTTTGCCAATCTTTGCCTTTATATTTCTGTGAGAATGAACTTCCAATCGTTTTATGTTTCCTAAGTCCGATTCGAATATACCGTATACCAAATTTCTGTAATAGTCGTTTGAGAGTAGAGATGAACTTCCGTGACTCTTTTCTTAGATAGTAAAAGGAAATATTTGCATCAATTTTAGTCTGCACTGGAGACTCTTTTTGACTATCCTTCACCGTGCTCTTTTTCATAGTTAGTTCAATTGTTTTCGCTATAAGACCTTTTGGATATCCATTCTCGTTCAAGACTTGTTTTAGCCATGCTAACTCGGTATCTAACAATTGCTGATTTGAACATAGTCGAAGAGCTCTAGTGACTAACGACTTAATTAGGGCAATTTTTTGATAACGTGGTGAACTAGAATCCCACTTCATATGCAAATTGGTATTTGTTTTTTACCGATATACAGTTGTTTCATATACGTCATTTTCTTTCAGTGTAAGCACGTCTAAAAATGCTAATGCATCATCGATCTCTATTTCGAGTGTGAATTTTATTTGTGTATGAAGTTGGTTAATAGTATCAAGTAGAAGTAAGGCATCATTTTCATCCCCACTTAATATGACAAAAATGTCATCTACAGAGCGAATCCATGTTTTTATTATTGTATTATTTACTTAACGTATTTTCAATTGTATTTAATATATTATGTTTCTTCAAAAACGTAAACAGACAAAAAGGTATCAATGAAAACAAGTTTGCAAAAAGCGGACATTTATTCTGGGGCACACGTTAACTCTTTCTTTCTGACTGGAAAGTATTTTTATCACCTTGGAAACTGAGGAAGCCACGTTCGATTAGGCTTGAATTACTAGCAGAGATAGAACATCGAAAAAGAAAATCGATGTATTTTTACTCTGCTATTTTATGTACGGAAAAGGAGGGAAAAGTTTATGAAGGAAAAGTTAAGAAATTCATAACTTTTTGAAGGAAGGTTGTGGAATGTTCGGAGTGGTCTCATTGTGTACCCCAGGCTTTCCTTCTCATTAGGCTATGCTTATGGAAAATCCAAAAGCTTTTCAAGGAAAGAGGGAAAGGGATACCCTTTAACTTTCGAACTGGATTTATTTTACTGTATGCTAAATAAGTGATAAATAACTTTTTCTTCCTTTTAGTCCTACTTACAACATCAGCCATATTCCTCTACAGCTCCTTCACAATTCATAGGGAAAAGTTTTATAAGATTAGGCGACATTTCGAATGACTCATTCTATCGCAAGATAGAAGGGTCGAGATGCAAACGTATGGGATAAGGGCGCCAAAAATCTGTTAAATTGTTTTTGTATGCCTGAGAAGATTTTCTCTAATGTTGATTCTCTTAAAAAATATGATTAGGGCTGTTCTCTTTGAATTTCTTTTCGTATAAATCTTTACTTCTATAATAAAAAACATGATATTATTGTACTTTCCTTGTATTCACCAGACAGTAGAATAAACTATAAAAGTTAAGATGCTCTTTTTTGCCTTTAAATGTGTTGCTGATAGTTTGATAATTGAATAATGTTTCCAAACATGCAAAACTATTATAAAATAGATCTTCTGTAATAGTGGTGAATAGAGAAAGGGCAACCCACCAGCCGAAATATACTTTGAACCGCTTAGTTCCACTAACTATTATTAGGAACTTTTCTTCGATATATTACAGAGTGCAGCACGAAAATAGACTGAAGAATTGCTGAGAGACCTCTGATAACATTCCTCTATCATTTTTTTGCTGACTTTTCGACATCTTTGTAATAAATACATTTAAGTATACGTAACATTGCTTTTATCCGTATCAGGCATAGTATTAGTGTGCCTTCCTTTTTTACCTTATATGATTGACTTGTTTGCGATGGTGAGTCAATATCGTAAAAATCAAAGTAGTTGATGACTGACATATTCACAATGTTCATGTTCTAAGAGAAATACAAAATGACTTAAATATCTGACATGAAAGAAATTTTTTTCATTTTTAATAGTTCTTTTGCATGTTTTGCACAATCTGTTATTTCATTAACTAATGCTAGTGGAGTAGCACTTCCAAATCATTTCCTGTTAAAACGTTTTTAACAGAAAAGAAAACACAGTTTCAAGAACAAATGCGTCAAACCGATCTGTGTAGACACGATTCAACTAAAAAATTCTTCTTGCGTTTTTCTCTAGGATACATTCGGCTGTTAGCAGGGTTGCCAGACGTTCCCCCATATGAGGGACAATCCCACATTTTAAGATTTGTCCCGCGCGAAAAGCGGTCCCTCAGGATGCCCCTCTTTTCAAGGGTATTTTCTTTGACCGTCTTCGATGGACGTTTCACTTTTGCATTACGCTACCAGTTTAACACAACTTTAGCGTTAAGTAATTTTTCTTATATGAGATTTCACATAAGAAAAAGCACTAAACGCAGAACTAAAAATCAGAGTTTAGTTGAAGGGTCTTTGAACCTTTTTCCCTTTGTATTTATTAATAAATATATACGTAACTAAACGTATGCATATTAACTAATAGTTAATATACATTTATTAATAAATACGAAAGGAAAAAAAGTTCAAAGACCTTTCAACTAACTGATTAACTTCGTAAACAATAAGAGCATTAATCACGAAAATTAGAATGAACACAAATTTAACGTGCAGTAATTTTCAAAATTATGATTATGATCTATGATTTTGAATAACAAATACGTCCCTAGTAAGAGCATTCGTGAAATGAAAATATGAACACATTAGTAAAAAATAACGTCTGAAGTGCCCATTTGGTAGCTTGTGTGTGACAAAAGATAGTTGTATTAAATTTTATGTTTTGACATAGTAACATTAGAAAAACCAGAATAAAAGAATATACTCACGTGCCTTTAATTTTCTCAATGACATTGCACGACAAATAATGTGTATTGTTCCCTTTTGTAGAAAAAACAGTTCCCCTTACGTCCCCCTTTTCCCAACATTTGTCCCCTTTACTTTTTTTTTAGTTGGCATTCCTGGCTGTTAGGCACAACATATACAGAAGAAAAAGCAAAATGGATCGAAAAGGAAGCGGTCTCTTTCATGTTTAGAGTTACCGTGAAGTTAGATGCCGGATTTTCACGTGAAACTAGTTTTTCATTTGTTTCTCAAAAGCTAGACTTAGCATTCAAAAAGAAAGACCAGATTTAGATTCTACGTGAAAAGACGAAAGATTCCTTTCCAAACCACCTCGAAAAAAATTGTCCTGATTTGCGATCAGAAGTAAACACTAAGTCCCAGTCTAACAGATTCGTTTATACTAGTTCATAACTTCGTCAGAAATCGCTGCTAATTTCAAAGTATGATCAAAGGTATATAGTTATTTGGCACCTTTATCGATTGTGTGCATTTAGAGCTTAATGGGAGAAAACGATCGACGAATTTAACTTAATAACCGACTGTTTGTAATATGAGAGACTGTTTTTGTTTTTTTAAACTTATCACAGTTAAACAAAGACGCATTCTCTATAATGAACTCATCATAACCGAAAGATCAGTAAAACATCATAGAGAATTCGTTATTGCCCTCTATACTTCTTCAGAAGTAAATAATTGCACTTTCACAATTATTACATAAGGCAGCGAAGAAAATATCCCATCTTTTTGGCGGTACACTTCCCACAATGCCACTTTTAAAATACTAATGTTTGAGTAATTTTTTGCATTTATCAGATTTTTGTTTAGCTGGTTTTCCTTCACCTTTGATTTAATTTCGAACAAAAAGTTTTGCACCTTTTTGTTTTCCTTGTTATATTTGTTAGACAAAGAGAACAAAAACGCATTGTTTAAAATCAAAAGAAGGTCGTTTTGTGGATATTAGTTCTTCTCCCATCTACCTCTAACTGACAGAAATTCTAACAAGATTCTGCAGGAAAATAATGTAACTGCCTATGGTAAACTCCGTGTTTTTCCTCAAAGGTTCATTCTACGAAAATTTTGATTCGAGAGCTTCTTATTTGCTCATTCAAACACACTTCTTTTTTCTTTCTTTAAATCTTACTTGCTGAAAAGTAACAAACGGCTTCAATGTTTGAGGTTGTTAGCAGATCAAGTAGTCCGTCGGAAAGGTTGAAACTGGATCTGGAAGTTTGCAATTGCAAAATTTCAGTATTGGAAAAAAGCAGGTTAGAAAAAAACGGTAAAAGATAGTGCTATACAGTTCTTGAATACAAGAACTAGATTATTCAAAATGCACGTTTTTGAGCACACGAGAGGGGAGATAATTTATGTCATAATAACGCGACAGGCGTCTTGTAATACGTTAAACTTTTTTGCTCAACTTTATAGAATTATAATGCATTATATAATGTCCACGCCATTGGAACTAGACCTTCCCAAGTTCAGATTTCGTTCAGAGCTGATGAACTGTTCAAAACGCTATATTCAGCGAACTGAACTGGTCGAACAGTTCTTTTGAGTGAGCTGAACTTTTTGAACAGTTCTTTTTGAACGAGCTGAACTGGTCGAACAGTTCTTTTGAGCGAACTGAACGTCGACTTTGGAAGACTTTTATCTACTCATAATTATTAAATCTATCTAAGGCAGAAGTCAGAAAAAGGTTCTCTTCGTTAATTTAATGCACATGTCGGATTACAAAATGATGCACCTTTTCCCTTTCTGCAAATTTATTTGAAAATAAAGTGTCTCCTGACATTGGTTCTACTGATCAGTTGCAGAGATTTGTCGCCCAACGATAGCCAGAAAGCCATCAATTCTTGCCAGAGGACTTCGAAGAACTATTGAAGCGTGGAACTGTTCAAAAAGTTCAGCTCGCTCAAAACGAACTGTTCGCTCGAAAAAAACTTTTGAACAGTTCTTTCGCTCATTTGAACGGAGTTCGTGAACGTGAGCTGGTGAACCCCTAATTGGAACTCATTTGAAATTAATGCATTATAATATATTACGAGGTGTTTAGAAGATTATAAATCATCAGAAAAATTCCATTTCGTTATCATACATTATTAAATCCATCAACTTGATCAATTAATGTCGCATTAAGTCGAGAGTATTTAATGCCCTTTTTACTCTAACTCCGAGTGCACAAGTTACACATTATGCTCAGCTATTTTTCAGAAAAAGGTCACCTGAATTTGTAGAGATATTGGACCATCAATACACACCAAAAAGGTAGATTTTTTTTTCAATATAATTGTTTTTGGCAAACAATCGTTTCCTAAAAGGCACCCTTCCTTGAATTTTTAACGAATGTAGAGTACTGGACTCGCACTTTAAGATAGACTATTCTGCGATATTATATGCTATATGTGGATTCTGGCTGCAATTGACGCCGCCCAAGAATCTCGAACTTTGCGGTTTAAGTGCATTCAAAGCTCGATGCTTTTGTTCATGGTGAACAGTTAGGCTCATGTATTGAATGTAATAATAGTTAT